CCCCTCCCTCCTCCACACCGGTTCAAGCCCCTTCCATCCTCAGCACCCCTCCACTCCCTTGCCCTCAGCCAAGCCCCTCTCCCCCTTTCCAGAACGGTCTCCCCTCTTCCGTCCCTATAAGCGGGCTTCCACCACACCTCCCTACTGACAGCGCGGGCAGCCGGGGCCAGCCGGTCCATGGTTTGTTCCAGCACCAAGTGGCATCTCACGCAAAGGCCCCCTCTTCCTCCTGGAAAGCGTCTCCTCGCTTAAGCTCCAGGTCCTTCTCTCCTGGCTGTCCTCCTTCCTCTCGGTCAGTCATCTGTCTCTGTGGCTTGCTGGCTCCCGGCCCCCTGCTAGCCTGTAAATGTGGCTGATCCCCGAGGCCCTGCCCTGGCCCACTGCAGCAGATGTGCAAAGCTGGTAGCCTCCAGGGGGCTTGGATGCCTATATAGAGATTTTTAAATATTTTATTTATTTATTTATTTGAGAGAGAGAGAGCACCCAAGCAGGGGGAGGAGCAAAGGAAGAGGGACGGGCAGGCTCCCCGCTGAGCATGGAGCCCAACTCGGGGCTCGATCCCAGGACCCCAACATCACAACATGAGCAGAAACCAAGAGTTTGGACGCTCAACTGACTGAGCCACCCAGGCGCCCCAAGGACACCTGTATTTTGAACAAACCTGAAAACCTCTGCCAGGCTTTCCTGGGTGAATCTTGCCCCGTGTTCATGGCCGCACCTCTCAGCAGGTGTAGCCCACATAGCTGGACATCCAGACAGACCTGTCCCAGGCCCCAGGCTGTGTACCTGCTCGGTGGGTGCGCGGCTCACAGGTACCTCCCCCTGACTCCAGAACTAATACCCCAGGCCTGTCCCTCCTCCCATCCTCTCTTTCCCGGTGCAGGGACCACCACCGCCTGGAGGACCAGGTCCACGTCTGTTGGTTTGGCTGCAAGCTTGCTGGGGCCAGCATCACTGACGCTGTAAGCAGCCTGCGGACTCTGGTCCAGCTCTCGGTTCTCGGACAGCATGGCCTTTGCAGCACCCCTTCTCCTGTGGGGAGCCCCTCCTACCCACCCCCCCCAAAGACAATACCCATTTTTCTTTCGCATCCTGACTTACTGGCTGAGTGGCCTGAACCAGCTCTTATCCTGTCTGTGCCTGGGTTTCCTCATCCTTAAAGTGAGGATAAGACTAGTTCCTGCCTCGTGGGGTGGTCGTGAGCACTTAGCGCGGTGCCTGGCATGTGGTCAGCACTCTGGAGATGGTGTTTCCTGGGTAGGCGCCAGCGCCCTGGACCCCACGCTTGCCCCGTGCCCACTGGTTTCCCTGCTTTCATTCAGTCTAGTTCAAGTGCCGAAACTTTCCCTTTTCCAGCTGGTCTCTCCTTAATTGGCTGGGAGCCCCACCCCCCCAAATTCCACCCCCCCACCCCCCCTCCCCGCCACCTCCAGGGACCAGTTGTAATTCCTGATGTATTCCCAGTATCTACCCTATAGTACTTGACCCATGAGAGGTGCTTACCAAGGAAGGGTTGACCGGTTGATTTGTTGAATTAACTCAATGAACGAACCATTCCTTAACAGTAGTTAAGAACACCACCGAGCTCGAGCGCTTCCTGTATGGCTTTGTGCAAGTTCACTGAACCTCTCAGCGTCAGTTTCTCATCTGTAAAATGGGATGTTAGCACCTACCTTTTAATTTGATAATCCGTGCGGGGGGACTACGCTCAGGGCTCAGTAAACGTTAGCCGCGCTCCGTGGTGGGAACTGCATCTGGGGCTGGCTGAGCGCGAGCACTTAGAAGGACAAATATGAGAGCCATAAGCAGCATGGAAAATAAAAGATGACTTTTGTGTTACAGGACACCCCAAGATATCTCTTCTAACCGATGGTAGTGAAACCTCCAAGAACAGAGTAGAAGCAGGGTTGTGCGGTGTTTGGGGCCGGCTGTTCCAAGAAATAACTTGTTAATTAAAAAAAAAAAAAAAGTCTTCCCAATATTCCTAAAACACCTCAAGAGGGCTGCTATTGAAATTTATTTCCTTAACCGAGTCCCTTTTATCTAAAATCTGGGTTTCCTTCTTTGTTTCTGTCTTTTAACAAATGTGGGTTTGGGTTTGTTGTTGTTTTTTACCTTTTCTGAGCTTGTGACTGACTTTGTCGCAGCACGTGAGTGACATAATAGAGGCTGACCTTGAACAAGGAGGGAGCATGTCTTTTAAACGGGGAAGAGTCCCCCAAGATGGACTGTCCCGGGGTGTGCAAGTTGGCTCGCACTGTGAAGCTGGGGGGGGCTTCTGCCTCAGGGAAGGAAGGCTCTCCCGAGGTCCTTACTCCTCACTTCATCGGTGGTACTTCTGCAGGACGGCACCTGGCTTGAATCAGCCACTCTGGGTGGGGCCTGGGTGCTCTCAGGTAATCGCTGCCGGCATCTGAAGCCTACGGTTTGCAAAACACTGCCAGCAGAGCCTGGCCTAGGTCCTGGGGGCTCCAAGGGAGGAGGGTCTAGGCAGGAACTGGCCCCCTTTCTGGCTCTAAGCCAGTGTGGCTGGCCCAGGGCCGGCATTTTGTGCTGTGAGGAGAGCAGGGTTTGGCTCAGCCCATAGCTCTGGATCAGGCAGCCACCTCTTTCCAGGAGCCCAGAAACACACACTGAAGCCATCAGTCCATAGGACTGTTATCCCATTTGATCAAAGCACAGGGCAAGGGACCACATGGAGAAAGGCCACTCCTGGCGCCTTGTTGCCGTTAAGCCTTAATGGTGTCATCCATTTATCCCGTGTTTCTGTTGCATTTGTTTCCAGACAGCATGAAACCAGTGGGCTACTACCTGGCTAGTGCTTAGCCTGGGGCTGTCTCCACACCCAGGACTTGATTGGGGGAGGGGGGAAGCCACCCAAGGGTTTAGACAGCTCAGCTGCTAATGATGATGCTTGTCGTCTGATTCAAATATCCAAGCAGCAGGTTGTCTGCTTCTCAAGGAAAAAGGCTCTTCTCCTCACCTCTGCATCTTCTACGGGCCCACTCCAGTGCTGGGCAGCAGAGCAGATGCTCAGATGAGCAGTGGCTGCCTGCATCTGTCCGTGTGTCAGCCCCGGCAGAGTGCCCCTGCCCCGCGCCACCCCAGCCTGCTGGCGGGGCTTCTGGGCCGCCCTGGGATGTCCTCGCCCCTCCAGGAGACGGTGCAGGAAAACTCCCGTTTGGTCTGACGCCCGGGGGTGGTTTTGAGGCTGCTCTCAGAAAACCTTGTCCCCATGTGACAGTGTGATGGGTGGCCGTGGGGACAGAGGGGGCTTCCCACAGCTGCAGTGCCCTGGCTTCCCCAGGATCGGAGGCAGGGTCACAGGGGCCAGGGGGCATTACTACCGTGTATGCAATGTCGAAGCAGGAAACCGCTCACACTTGGTTGGAACATCGTGGTGTTCGGTTCTGCCCCAGCCTGATCCGGGACACTGGGAGGCCAGTCAGGGCCGAAGCAGCTGACCCTGGCCCTGAACAGCCACACACACAGGAGGGAAGAACTAAGTCCTGCCCTGGCTTCTTCCTTGCGCTTTTTCCAGAACCCAACGGAGGCTTGAGGCTAGGGGGCGGGGCTTGGGCCTGTGGGCGGGGCCAGACGGCGGCCTCCCGCGCAGGGGGCAGGGCGGGCTGTGTGAGCATGCGTCCTGCTGCCTGGGCGCCCGCCGCTGGCTCTCGGTTTCCGGCTCCTCTCACTTGCTGCAGTAGGAAGTAGCAAAAGGCCGGGGTGTGCTTGAAAAAGGGGAGCCCGTAGTGCGGGAGGAGGAGGACGAGACCGGGGTGGGGACGCGAGTGTGCCTTCGGGGACGGCTTGAACAAAGATGCCCACAAAAATCCTTCCGAGGTTGAGAAGGGCGGGCAGGGCCCGCGGTCAGTGCAGTCTCGGAAATGGACAGGCTTGCAGGTGGCAGGAGAATCTGGGAGAGCATGAACAATACTAGAGTGTCATTAGGTTTCCCAGAACGTAGTTTTACCCGTCTGCAGGTGCCGCCTCCCTGTTGGGTTAGGAAAGGAGTCCGCCCACCCCCAGTTCCAGGTCTCTGCCCTCGTCAATGCTTGGTTGTGCTGGGAGCGCGCGAGAAGCTTGGCCGGCCACGGGAAGGTTTAACCGGAGGGCAGCCTGACGCCAGTGTCTGCACATCACCTCATGGCCTTTGACTCAGTGAGTGTTGGACATGTAGCCTGGAGTTTGAAAAGCATCTTGAGCCTTTAAAATCCTTTCCCTGTGAAAATACAAGTTAATTTCACCATTGGTGCTTTTGGCCGGCCAGGAAGGGTGCAGGACACAGCCAACTTCTTTCCAGAACAGTTCTGGGTAGTTGTGCAACTCTAAATTTAATCCAAAGCCTACATTTCCAGGGGTGAGTGTGCTGTAGGAAGCCGTCTGTGGACAAATGAGGATAATAGTTTGAGTGAATTAGCAAGTCTGGAGAGGAGGACCCATCAGCAGAATGACAAATTTAGGATCTTTAAAGACATCTGGTCAGCGATGCCGGAGCTCATGATTGACTGAGTGATTAATAATGGAAAACCCTTAGTTCAGTGTTTCTGCTGTCCCTCACCCACTTCCCCAGCCAGGGCGGGCCGTCTGCTCCAGCCTGCCAGAGATGTTTCCAGCTGAACAATGGAGGCATTTAGGCCCCTCATCCTCGACCTCTGTGAGTTTAAGGTTTCAGTTTTGCTTCTCCTTATCCAACTTCTCTGTGTGTTTCCTCACTGACAACTCCTGGAGAAGGCTCCTGATTCCCTTTCACATTTGATACAATTCCATTCAGCTTAATCAGTGCTGCATTCCAAGAGCCTACTGGTGGCCAGCACCTCGCCCCTCAGGGTCACCTGGATTTACAGCTCCGGGTTCACCAACCAGGGCTTCCCTCGGACATGCACAGCAGCAGGACGCATTGAAGGGCTGAAGTTGGCCATTGCCCCCCTTGCTCGCTGCAGCTGGTTGCCCCCGCGTCTCGGGACCCATCCCTAACTCTGTGGTGGATCTCTCTGCAGGCTAAAGCAGCTGGACAAGCACAGCCAGGCCACGGCCCAGCAGCTGGTGCAGCTTCTCAAAAAGCAGAACCAGCTTCTGCTAGAGAGACAGAGCCTGTCAGAAGAGGTGGAATGTCTGAGATCCCAGGTACTGTGCAAACCCAGCGCAGGGGTGGGGGGCCGGGGTAGTCCTCTGGGCCGGCTTACCCACCAGAGAACACAGCAGCGTCTGTGTGGGGGGCTCTTTCTCGTTCCTTGTTTCAGAGCTGTGTCAGAACAGGTGAAATCCCCAGTGATCCCACTGGGCAGCTCGTAAGCTGGCAGGGGGATCCTGAAGATTATGCTGGGCACAGTGGGGGCACGGATGTGAGGGCCATGGGCCTGCCCTCTTGAGGGAGCTAAGGTTCATGCACAGCAGCCCTCGTTTCAGCAGGCCACCCTGAGGGGCGCAGCCTGTGGAAGGACATGGAGGGCTACGGTGGTGAGCAGCATTCTTGCGGGAAGTAGACTCTGAACCGCCCCTGGGGGATGTGTACAGTTTGAATTGGTTGAGGAAAGAGGGGCTGCCAATTGGGGGAGCCACGGTGAGTGGACTGCAGGAGTCTTGTCCGAAGTCAGCTGCCGGGTAATTGAGCCCAGCAGCGCTACCGGTAGAGCGCACACTGACTCTTGCTACCCTTGCACGAGCCTGAAAGATCGCTTCTTGTCTCCACTTTGCAGATAGGGAAACCGAGGCACCAACAGCCTGCACAGCTAGCAAGTAGGGACACTATACATGGCCCCTAAGGCTGACGCCACAGCCCCAGCCTTCTGTTGAGGGTAGACCTGGGGCCACCAGAAGGGACAATGGAGGGAGGAGAATATCCAGGTGAGTCTGCAGGGTGGCGTGAGACCTTTTTCCCCTGAGTGGCTTCTCTTCCTGTCAGAGGAGCTGTACTTTTTGCCCCATCAAGCAATGTGTTAGGATAATGAGGCAGTCCAGGGGCTGGCCACGGTCTCCTCCTTGTCTTAGGACCTTGTATTAGGATGGCCCCCAGGTGCCCACACAGTGAGTGCTTGGAATGATTAATGGGAAAAATGCCTCTGGAAATGAGAAGAGGGGGAAACTGTCATTCTTCTTTCAAAATGTGCTGAATGGGTACCGGGGAGCCGCTCTCCTCTGAGGGAATTTTCCCACTCACCGCACTGAAGCCCTCGCCAGGAACTACTCATTTTTCCACGTAGAGTAAGAGAACACCCCCCGTGCCAGGCGCTGAACTACGGCCTGGGGTTGGGGGCCCACCAGTACACCGTGGCCCTGGTGCCACTGACCCTCTCACACCACCATGGTCGTCCGGGAGGCCTGCAGACAGGTAACTGCGAGGATCACGGATTCAGGGCCTCTGTTCACACATGCAAGGAATAGGCATTTTTAATAAGCTGGTTGGGTAATTCTGAGGGACTCGGAGCCCTGGAGGCTCCGAAGGGCTCGGACTCGACCTGGGCCACAGCCCAACTGTCTGCGCGGGTCCTGCAGGAGGCAGGGCGAGCGAGCTGTGTGTGAAGACAGCCAAGGGTTGGGGCCACCGGCTCCCCTGGCGGGTGACTAGGCTCCTGTCACCGCAGTAGAGGGACAGGGGCTCCTAGCATGAGTGAATCCTTTGGCTCTAGGAGCCAAGAACCACTTCAGAATAAGACTTGTGGGGCGTCTTCTGTACAAGCTCCGAGCACATGGCAGTTTCCTGTTGATTCTGGACCAGAGCATTGTCATGTAGGGTTTCCCTTTTAACTCCCCATCTGCCTACCTTGCAGCCATTCAGATCTTAACATGGACCATCGATGCTTAGAAACCTCTTCCAGGGCTTTAAAAAACTTGATAATTGCCAAATGGATTGCAAAATTTTCATAAAATGCATTAAAAAAAAAAACAACCAAAACCTCAAAAAATCCTCAGAAAAATGAGCAGGTCTTTCTTCTCTTGCCTGAAGCCACAGAGATGCTTTGACCATCCTGAGTTATCTGATACCAGCCCATCTGGCTCATCTCTAAAGGGATCTTTCAGATTCAAACAGTACATTTGGAGTTATTTTAATATGAACAGGACAAAAGACATTTCATAGAGGGACTGTTGGCTTTCAGTAGCAAATACTGGTGTTCAAAGAAGAGGCAGGGATCCAGTTTTGCAAGCTTGCTGCGGAATATCTAAACCGAAGGCCTGCTCTTTCTACCCAAGTGTGGCATTAGACCTACTTGGCCGTGGAATAAACTGGAATTGTGAGTTTAGCTTCCAACCGTTGAGGTGAACAAGGCCGCTGTGTGCTCCCAGCAGGGATGTTGGAGGACACAGCCTGCTGCGAGCTCCCGAGTGACTGACCCCGCTCCCTGTTTTCCTGGAGAGACACTGGTTCATCTCTCGTTTAGGGATGAAGCGTTTAACTAAAGGCTTCCGTTTTCTCGGCCGGGATGGATTAAGCATAAGGACTTAACTGCTTGTGTCAGACTCTCAAACTCTGTCCACCCGACACCCAGCAGGGAGTGGAGAGCTCCTGGCCGGGGCTGCTGCTCCGAAGCTGAGTCCCAGGCCTCTGGTTTGCTCCCAGGCCCCGAGCCCTGGGCCCTGGAGCAGATGACGGGCCTTGGGTCGGCCTGCCGCCTCTTACGGGAAACTGACATCTGTTCAGAAGGCTTTCTTATTCTCAGTCGTTTCTGCTTACATCCTGAAACCCGCACAACAGTCTGGCAGAGCGAGCCGGTCGTAGTGGTAAGTAGGCCATGGTGACGATTTTAACCATGACAATTCCCGTCTTTCCCTGCAACACTGCTGGTGTGCAGGCCGCGGGCCGCCAGTGGGCCTGGCTCAGGGCTTCGGGGCCGCCTTTCTTCGTGTGACTAAAAGTGGTGGCTTTGTTACTCTCCTGCCTCATGCTGCGGGTGGGGGACTTCTAGAAAATGGCTTTTAAAATGTCCTCAAATGGCTATGCTGGTCATCCTGAAGACCCCCACCCAGCCTGCCTGCAGACATGGCCCCACGGCCCCTCCCTGGGCACAGGCCCTGTCGCCTCTTCTTGGTGGGCACAGAGACTCTGGCTGGGTCTCAGGGGAGTGGTGGTGGGGCCTGGTGGCTGGGAGCAGGGAGTCAGGGGTCTGGGACCCAGCGCCTGGGGCTCTAACATCTGGCCAAGGAGGGTGGCACCAGCTGCTGAGATCAGTCTCTTCTTGGGGAGAATGGCAGCTGAGAGATGGGAAAGAACAGAAGTTGTCCATTTAGAGGATGGTTTTATACCCCCGAGGGTTTGTGGGGGAACTACTCATTGGGCAATGACTCGGGGTTCAGATTTGCATCTTTTGATAGCCACTTTCTCCCCCGGGCCCTGGGGCTCTGTCCTCAGTGCTCAGTCTGGGGAGGGGCGCCCTTCCAGTCCCTGCAGACGAAGCATCTCTACAGTCGGGAAGCTTTCCTGAGACTGACTTATCAGTGATTAATCAGTTGGCCCTGTGACTTTTGCGTATTCTTGGCAGTGAACTGACTTTCTAATTTGATTCAAACTTGTGCTTGGATCCAGCAGCCACATGTGATTATAAGGAAAATCATGGACATTGTCTCATCACACGGAAGGATGTGGCAAGAGAGCTGAAAGGAGCAAAGAACCGGGCACAGGGGAGGAGGGGAGGCAGGGCCCATTTATGACCTGAAGCCAGGGGCAGGGCACCTTCAGAAATGGCCGCTTGAGGGAGGGTCACCAGGCGGGGGTCCTGCTGAGGAGTGGGGGGGGGTGCCTGCCGCTCGCCCCGGATGGGACCTGGAGATGTACGCAGGTTTGTGAGGGTCCTTCCTGAGCGTTGGGGGCCTCGCCGGCCTCACATGGGTGCTTCCCCAAAGTTAGCTACCTGCAGGACAGATGGTGCTTGAATAGAACAGCAAATACACTGAATAAAATAAATTAGAAAGCCTCCTCCTGAACCAAGAGTTTTTGGAAAGAATTCTAAATAGATGAAAACAAACAATTTGATTTCAACCAAATTGTTGTTTTTTTGTTTTTATCCTGATTTTCACCCGAATTGTCAGTCTCAAAAATAAACACTGATACATTCCCAGAAAATATTTTTCAAATAAAAACTGACTCTGTTAAAGTTTGCCCTGATTCTTTCAAAACTGTGTACAAGACACTGTCAACCAAAGTGACTTGCATATTTTTTTAAATACACTTGAACATATGCAGCAAAAATGTCATTAACTCCCTGCTGCCTGAGTGTTTTTCAAGAGTGACACGAGACCCCTGGTGCTGTGTTTCCAACATAAGGGTCTCGCGACCCTCAGAGAAACTTCCCCGAGCAACTCGAATAGCACAGTTTAACTTTTGTGGGTTGTTTTTTTTTTTTTGTCCCCACGGAAGGCCCTGTGTGTAATTAATATTGAAAAGCACATACGGCTTCATTGAAGCCAAACTTGCTCTTCCATTTAACAGTTCAGTTTGTCCAAGAGTGAATAATTTCAGAATGAGACTCATGGAAGAAAAATAAATCGAATTTTCTGTTGCTTCAGACACACTTGCTCCAGTTATTGCTTCCTGAGTCAGACGTTACATTTTGCAATATAAATTCACAATCAAGATTTTAAAGGGAGCTAAATATTTTAATCCAATTAGACAAGTGAACAAAACACTGAATATTGCATGGAGTGTGGAGAAGTGGTTCTTGCCTTTAAAAGACTGTGATTCCGTCACATTACAACCCCAAATGTCAGTGTTGTCTTTATTCTTAACGCTTTCAAACATGAGGCAGCCAGAGGCTCCTCTCTGTGCTGTTGGTGACACTGTCTGTCCTTTGGGAATTCTTAAAAATCTATTTACCATGGAAACATGGTCCCTATAAAACACAGACACCTGCCCATGTGCAGAGGAAGTTTGCGGGACTCGCGGGATTCCCGGAAGCTGGAAGATGACATCGTGGGATTGCACGAGGTGTGGGACCCTGGTGTCGGCAGAGCTCCGAGGAGGAGCGGGGCGCAGGAGCTGCCAGATCCGGGGGCGCCTGGGCACTTTGACCCTGGCCGTCCGTGGTCCTCCCCCCCCCCCCCCCCGCCCCCGCCCCCCTCGCCCGCCGGGCCGCAGGTCCAAGTCCAGCTCCAGCTGCTGTTTTCCAGAAAGCCAAGGAAGCATCGCCCCGCCTTCGTTCTGCAACGAAGGCTTTCCCGCCTCTGCTTTTCCTTTCTCTGGTTTCTCCTGATGCTCCCCGCTTTGGGAGCCCAAACACAGGGAGCCAGGCCTGTGGTCCCCATGGTCTAGGGACCCTGGGGCTTTGACCTCTGTCTGCACAGACCAGTGGTCGTCAGAGGCCCGAGGGGAGAAGGACCGCCGGGTGTGCTGGTGACCTCATTGTGAACTCTGGGCCCGTTTTGCACCTGCCCACAGCCGGATGGATTCCTGGGAAGGTCAGTGAGTGTGCAGGCCACTTAGCAGGGCGCAAGGCGGGACTCTGCTGACCCGGAGGCAGCCCGCCGTGTGCCCTGCGCCTTCTGCCATGTCGCGGGCCCCCCTGAAGGCCATGTTCCACGAAGTTCTGCAGAGGACTGGTGAGGGCACCTTCCTCCGAGCGAACCGGTGACCACCTGGAGGAGTCCACGTGGCCTGTGTGCGCTGGCCGGCCTTCCCCATGACTCCTGCTCAGCTCCACAAAGATCACACTTGGTGGCTTATGTGCTCTCACTGAGCGGGTCAGAAGAGCACAAGAGAGCCTGGACTTCGAGGTCACACCACCGGGGGCTCAGATCTCAGCTCTGTACCACTTCGGGGAAGTGGTTTAGCTTTCCTATCACTCAGGTCCTGGTCAAAACCAAAACCGAAACCAAAAAACAAACAAAAACCCTTAAAAAGAGAACCGGCTTCCCTTTAGGAGGGAGCCCCCACACAACCCCGACTCCGGTGAAGGTGACCGTGAAGCCGGCCAGGTTGGCAGGTGTGAAGGGGCCACTGGATAAATCATTCAGTGTCCTTTCTGTACAGGTAGGAGAAAGAAGGCCCAGAGATGAAGTGAACAGAACTGGGAAGTGACTGGCAGGGAACTGAACTCAAGAAGGTGGTCAGTCCCTGGGCTGCGGGCTGCTGGCTGCTTGGACAGGTGAGCGTCCATCTGCCTCTCTCCTGGGGCAGGGCCTGCAGCCGGCTCTGGCCCCCCCAGGCAGTAGCTACTTATGGCTTCCCTGGAGCTCTGTTCACTGGGGACAAGCTTGAGAATGCCCCAGTTGGAGGTGGGGGCGGGATGCTTTTCTCTGGTTAAAAATAGATGCTTTCTTGCCAGAGGCACAAGGAACAGGGCCATTTTTTGACCTGGCCGCACAGAGACGGAAAACGTGCAAATGAGCGAGACGGGTGGGGGTGTGCATTTGGGGGGGAACTAGTGAGAGGCTGGGTGGAGGTGCGCCGGTGGAAGCACTGGTCAGGCTGGGGCTGAGCATGCGCGGTCTGTGAGCAGGGGCGAGGCAGGCCGGGCATTCCCCGGGGTGGGGGGTGGGGAGCCTGGGGGCTTGGGAACAAAGAGGCAGAAAAGGCTCTGCTGGACCCCACAGCGTGGTTGCCTGGGGAACAATTCAGGTCACCCAGAGAGACTCATTTTTTAAACTCTGAATTTCAAGTTAAACTTCAGAAATAAACACAAAAGTCAGGGTTTGTGGAGAGAAGGCTCTATTAGGTTTTTAAAACGAGAACAAAGAAAATGGGGTCGCAGCAGCAGGCGTGCAGACGGGGGACACGTCTGTCATCTGTGGACAGTATTTCAGAAGAGCAGCTGCCAGGGTGCCCCGTCGGCCCTCCCCTTGCTGGGAGGGCAGCCCCAGACCACGGCAGATGTGGCCACACCACCCAAGCAGGCCGCAGCAAGGGCCATGGTGACAGGCTGAAGGCAGAGGATGGGGAGGCGGCCGAGGGCTCCAGTCCCAGTTCAGACCAGCTAATGTCCCACTGGCACGCACGTCCTCACCCCCCCTTCACAGCCAGACCATGATCACTGTGGTGTGGACGGTGGACCCAACTTTCTGGAAATAGCCCTAAGAAGTGATGGCAGAGGAGTGAGATTTGGGCAGTAGCTAAAGGTTCTCTGTCTCTGGACATGCCGCGGGATGGGGGGAGCACTGAGGAATGTTCTCTACTAAAGCTCCAGCAAATGGAGGGCAACACTGGGTGCTGCATTTATAGACCAAACAGTGACATGGGCACGGGGTGAATTACTCAGATGTCTACAGGATGGGGCGGGCAGCCGTAGGCACTGGGGATCCCGGACCAGTGAACGGTAATATTGGGGCTGTAATCCTAAAGTCAGGACAGGCTTTGCATCAAAACCAAATAAAATATCCCTCTGACCCTTCTCCCTCTCATGCTCTCTGTCTCTCATTGTCTCTCTCACAAATAAATAAAATCTTAAAAAAAAAAAAAAACAACAACAACAAATAAAATATCAAACCAGCGGAGAGACAGTGACAGGGAATTTGCTCCAGGGAGAGAGATTCGGCCTGGCTCCTGTTTGCTCACATTGGGGACCTCACATCTGCGCTGCTCCCAAGGGGTCCCACAGGGGCGGGGGATCGAGGGTTCCGGGGAGCCATCTGAGGGCCGCCAGGGAACGGGTCAGGTGATGATCAGTTACTAGATGGGCCCGGAGCCCACAGGCACTATGAACTCATTAATAAGGAGAGATGCCAGTTTCCTCGAGTTTGGTTTAAAAGAATTCCTGTGATATTTTCTTTCTACTACAGGTCTTTACCATTACTCTGTGCACACGTCATTGGGGTGTGTGTCTTCTACCCGAAGTTCAGTTACATTTTTCTTTTTCGATACGCCTGTCATGGTTCATGCTTATCCTTGTGCTCACAGACACGCATCCCACTCGCTTACTCAGTGTACAGCCCCCACCTGCGTTCCAAGCGTGGCGGCTGCACACGTGACATTCTAATGACCCTTCTACTTACAGACTTGCGCACTAAAGAGGCACGATCAGCGTCACACACACTGAGAAGCCTGAGATGGAAATAATCCCTTTTTGCATCTTTCAAAAGAGGCAACAGACTGATTTTCCTATTTCTCTTGCGTGAATTCTGATCTTTTGCTCACTATCCTGTCTTGGAAATCCTCAAGTAATCGTGGCTGAAACGGGGTTCTCACAGGAGCCCCCCTCCCTCCGCCGATTCTAGCTCAGGAAATCTGCATTGGGGAGGGCAAAGGCCCACATGTCTTTCTGGAAGGTGGTTGCCAGCCAGCCAGCCAGACCAGACCACCTGCTCCTCGAGGTCAAGGATTGTGTCTTATTCATCTTCCCACGTGGTACCGGGTAGGTACACAGGAGGTGCCCTGTTTTGTGCAATGAAACTGTCTGCAGTGGTTTCTGGCACCACTTCTGGCCGTGGGTTAAACTAATCTGAGCATCCGGGTGGGCCAGGGCCGTCAACGGTGTACTCACTCCACTAACCTGTGACTCCCTCAACCCAGTTTTCACGAGCTGGTTTTGAAACCTTTATTCCTGTTTAAAGCCAAGAGGCCAGATACACCAAATCCCTCTTCCAGCATGTGGGAGGTGGTTTCCATGTGAAAAAAATGCCTTTATATATGTTATAATAATGTGTCTGCCACTAAAAACTTGGGAGGTTTTAGCTCGTTTTGATTTCACTAGGAATGTCTCAGGGACACTTGGCCTGCATCCTGTTTTTGTTCTAGCTTCCTTCCCCAGCTGTAATGTCTGAGCGGTTTTCAGTAAACAGACCCTGGTGCGGATCGGGGTCTCCTTCCCCAGACAGGGAGGTGGTAGCTCTCCAGCCACACCCTGTCATCGGCCTGCCCTTCCTCAAGAGACAGACACGCCTCTGGGGTACAGATGGTTTTCAGAGTTCAAGCCTTAAAACAAAGTCATTCACCTCACGTTCCGTGGTCAAGTAGCGCAAGCTTTTCATGCGTCTGGTTACATACCGTCTCTGCATTTTTAGCAAAAGAGTTGATTTTCCTCCGTAAACGTAGAAGGGGCACCTCAGCCAGCGAGAAGACAAATCACAGGGAAGAACAAGATCTATTTAAACTTACTTTTTATTATCATTTTTTCCAGTTACCCAGCATGCGACAATCTGATTGCTGACCTGGACGAAACAGAGTGAAATAAATGGTTTACAAAGAGATATTTACATTCATCTGATTTGTTCGTGAGCTGCCACAGCACACCACGACCTTCCGGAACAGTGGCCGGCGCCCGGGATGGCAGCGGGCCGCTCGCTCGGCGCCCCGTCCGCCGCTCGGCGGCACTGTGTGTGGGCGGCCTGCGGCTCAGCTCTGACACCAGATGAGGAGCCCTCCTGCTATGTTTCCAGAAATGGCTTGAAGTGATGATGTTTTTAGATCTGCTCATTTGTATGCTGTTACACATGACTTTCAATAAATGAACTTTTTAAAGACCTGAATTGTAATGTTTCCTTTTTACCTTGTAGTGATGAACGAAACACACCAAAAAGGCACATATTTTAACTAGGCCAGAGGGTATTAAGGACCAGACTTTCTTCCTGCCATTCACGTTTCCTTCCCTCTGCGTGAGCTAGAGAGCATCCTTTAACTTCTGATGCTTTTAATCAACATCCCGTAAGACTCCATTACTTATCATCCTGCTACTCTGGGCACAGTCGGGAGACACCAGGAAGCACTGTTTATCCTGTCCACTCTGTTCACAAGGAAAACAGACAAGAAAGCATCTTTGGCTTCGTGGTGTCGGGTTTCTTCTCGAATGTGCAGTGTTTGAGAGGAGCCTACGAATGTACTTTGTGGAATTGCAAAGTTGACTTCGAGGTTTATCAGATATCTGTACACAGATCGTTATTTTACTTTAAGAGAATATTTCTACTACACACAGTTAAGCCCTCAGATGCTTGAAAGTAATAAAAACTGGGCACTGAAAATGTTGTATTGTCTTTGAGGAGGACAATGAAGCGCTAAAGGCAAAGGCAAGGCTGCGGGCGGGAGGAGGCCCTGACCTCAGGCCCTCCTCCTGGCTAGTGTTCCCGAACCCTTGCTCTCACCGGGCCCCCGTGGCCTCTCCGGATGGACGGGGATTAGGCTTTGGAGGAGGTGGGATGATACACACACAAAGACCTTTCGAAAGTCTCTCGAGCATGGAAAAGGTTCAAGCCTGAAAGAGTAGAACTTCTACTATTTGGATTCAGTTTTTTATTTAATCCAATGTGCTAGACATCAAGGTTGTCACCTAAGATATGTTAACTGTCCCTAATTCTGTTTGAGGACTACAGTAAATAAATTACACAATATTCTACAAATAGCACCCTTAAAGAATTGTAGAGGTCACTTTATTTTAGCCTCCTGGATCTGTCCATCCCAGTGGTTTCGAGAGAAGAGCACACGGAAGAACGCCCTCAGATCTGGCTGTGTGACACACACGTGCCTGACTAACTCTGGTCCCAAAGCCATTCCTCTACTCAGCTTAGTCAGGAGCAAAGCCAAGTTTGTACAACTGTAGGTTTATGAGGTAAAATCAGAAAAAGGCCCCATCCAAAATAAGTCTAGATAAATCAGACTGGAGTACAACCACCCTACCCATCTCTCACCCACGACTAAGTTTGTTAATTTGCCAATGTACATCCTAAGAAAGGAAGTATGCAGAGCAACACGTGTTAAGGTTATCAGGAAGACATTACTGAGGAGCGACACTCCTGAAGAGCTCTGGGCCCAAACCATCGGGTGTGAAGCTTGTTAGGTCCCTAATGCATCTCCAGGGAGCCCCCTTCTTCCATCCCTGACTTCACGGGAGATGCGCCTGAGACCCATCGCTGAGGGGCCGGCACCTCCCCTTCAGAAGCGGCCCCTCGTCCAAGTTTGCACAACTGCACTATCGCCATTTTACTGAACTAATAACAGAGCAGTCCTGCGTGTGTCTGGGGCTACAAGAGATGGACAATAGTTATTCTTCTCTCACATTTTATACAGGGTAGGTTAATACCAGCTGGAGCTATTAAAAATCTTTTTTTTTTTCCAGAAAAGAATTGATTTTCTGAGACTACAGAACCACATCCAACAACAATAAACAGAGAAGTAGCAGATTGACATAGTGCTTTATTTAAGCCGTCTGTACGAAGGAAAATAATGTGCATCCCTATCATATACGTGTAAAAATACTAAGGATGTACAGTGTACAAAAACAGTTTCTTGTAGTTATTTCACATCCTTGTGGGTCATATACTTAAGGAAATGAACAGTTTTAGTATGACCGACAGTAATAGTAATACAGTTTTTCTTGGGTTCATAGTTGCGTCTGCTTAAAATCCTTAACCAGATGACTAGATCTTGCGTGGATCTAATGAAAGAACTAGCAAGGTCAAGAAATGTCACAAACTATAAAGCTACAGGGAGGTAATTCAATTACCAATTTAGAGGTTTTCTTTTTATTTAAATAAATACTTTACATTTCATGCTTGCCTGTAATGCACTACCAGGAGCAAGATAAGGAAATTCTACTGTAGACAGTACGAACAGTAGCAGCAAAGTGTGTACGTTGAGGTGTAATACAGAGACCCTGCAGTTAGTAAGGAAGGCCCTTACTTTTGTCCTCTAGGAGAAGCAAGGGGCCCCTGCAAGAACAGTCAGCTTTAAGAAGCCGGAAATCAGGTAAGGGAAATGGAAAACAATACTGGAATAATGCTATGTCATTAGTGTAGAAAGCAAAGCTGTGAGCAACCCGCCAAAAAATCCAAGCAGAAATGGCCAATTTCCTCCCAGATGGCTGCATTAAGACAAGAGGGCAGACTTCACGGAAGTTAGTGCGGGATGGAGTCCGCAGCGTCTGACCCGTGTTCTGATGGAGTGATGCTGCATTCCGGGCCTTGCCTTGTGCCAGCAGCCCCCACCCCAGCCACGGCAGCCCCCACCCCCGCCACGGGCAGCCCCAAGGGCAGATGCGGACACCTCCCTCTACACACGCACACACGCACGCACCCTTGTTTTCCTGTCATTCCTCCGCACCAGCTGATGGACACCTGGGAGTGAGAGCGAGGGGCGCTGGACGTGAAAACCAAGGAAAGGCCCCGCGGGCCCCTGGTGCATCTCGAGGCCCAGAGCGAGCGAGCTCTGCACGCGCGTGGGCTGGGGACCGAGCCAGCTGTGAGGAGTGGCCAGCCCGGGGCACTGTCAGCGAGGTCATTCATCCTCAGGAAGTGTCCTTGGCCAAGGTTATAGGAAATCACCTTAAGGTTGCCGGGGGGAAGCTATCCAAGTCCTTAGTGTACGGGGTCACCCTCCTCGAGACAGAGGGCTGCTCCGCACAAACATCAGCCAGCCTCAGCCGCCTTCTCTGCCTCTACCTGTTCCTCTTGGATAAAACGGATGTGAGACAACTTACAGGACATACCATCTAGTCTACTTTCTGGTCAAAGTGAAACATTCAACAGAATTCCAAGGAGGGAGAAAAAGTGAAGCGACATGTGTAAGTAAGAATGAACTACCATGTCCTGTAACTTCCTACTCAATGCTAAGGATGAACTTCACTCAGGTAGGAACATGAAAAATTAGGATAAAACCTATGTCTGAATATGTCTTAGCTGCCTTAGTAAAATGCCCTTTGACCCCCGTCAGTCCCAGTGGCCCGCCCACCGCCAGCAGTGGTGTCTCATCTACAGATCCACACTTCCAGCGCCACGAGGCTAAGACATCTGCGTATGAATATGATTCATCCTACATAGAAAGTCACTTGCTCTTCCACACAATGCATCTGAGTCGTCATACCGCGTCATGCCGCAGTGTTCCACGGGGAGCTGTCAGAACGTGTGACTACAGACATCTCCACGATCGCTCCACGGGGCCGGCTGGCCTCCCGCGGCCGCGGCGAGCGCCCCCAGCCCCTGGACTTCATAGGCTGCTTTGGAAAATGTCAGCTCCTAGCACCAAAGGGTTTAATCTGAAGATCATCATTAATGAAGGAGAAAGATGAGGTTTGCATACATGTCCCCTTTCAGTGAGAAATGTTGGAATTTGGGGACATGAATATATACAGAAAAAGAAAAGTTGGAGGTGTTCTTTTTGTGTGTGTTGTTTTGTTTTCTCCCTGATGGCTTAATTCAGTGATAAATGTACCATGATCAGAATAAACACACCAGGTTCTTACCCCTTACTGCCTACTTTGTGAATACTCGAGATGTGTGCATTTTGCCAAGTACGGTGCCTTTGTCACGGTCACGCCGGTCGCAGTTCCTTTCATGGCGAGACGTTGCCGGGCCGTCAGAGCGTTTCCTTTCTCAAACGGTCAACAGCAACATCCTTCTGTCTCAACCCCTTGGCATGGAGAGCTGGGGATTTTCTCCCTTTGAGCACCAAGGGGTTCAGTGCCAGCATCTCTTCTCCCAAAGCCCAATTCTAACCAATGTGTACAATTTCAGAGCCTCATGAAATTTTGTTACAAAGGAGAAAAAGTGCACGATTCTCATTGCCGTGTACATTCCTTGCACATGGGTCAAAATAAACTGCAGTGAGTCTAGTTCATGTAAGTTGGAGCTGCATTTGCTAACATGACACATAATTTTCTTCACTAAGAAATAAATACTACTGCAATATAAACAAAATCATAAAAGGACATTCAAAGTTTTAACATCCGAGAAAAAGCTAATTCACGTAGAACTGAAAGTCAAAACTTAAAACAAATAAGGCAAACACCTGTTTACCTTGGTGTACAAATTTTGGTGAAAAGCAGGATCATTATACCTGTCTACATTCTTCAGCCATCAGAGGTGATAAATATCAAGAAGGGAAAAAGGTTTCCAAGCACAGTTGGGGAAAAAAAAAAAAAAAAAGCTCTCTGGTGCAAATCGTGTCATCGAGCCTGTAAGTGACCTTGCCTCTGCTGTGCATATGCCTCCTTCCTTGGAAGAGCAGTGTCCGTCTTGCCAACGACCGCCCATGAAATCTGGACGTCCGGGTGGCACAGCGGGCTTCCTCTGCAGTGTCCATCAGGGACTGCGTGTGCATCTAGCGCTCTATCTCAACAGTCGTTCGGTCCTTCTCTCAGATGCTTCCCTACGGATTCCGGCCAGGTCTGAGTGCGCGATCCCCACCGTACGCACTGATCTCTTACGCCTTCCTACAATTCTGCATATGCACATCACCACCCTGCCACAATTGCTTGTTCTGAATTATAAACTAAATCTTCTTAGTCTAATTAGTTTTCGATGTATCTTCTAGAAAGTTAAAAAATGTACCTAGAATCAGTGTATCTCATTTAGCCTTCACTGTTAGGGAAAAACAAAAACTAAAAGATCGAAAGATGACAATTGGTGCACAAGTGAACAATGGTGGGCTCATGACTTCCAAAGATTGTAAAATTACCTCTTAAAGTTGCTAGAATAGTAAGACAGTAGCAGCAGCGGCATGAGACCGTAGACGGAGATACAATTTCATGCAAAAACAAACAAGTGTGTTTGCGTCCATGTGTGTTCTCGTGGGGGTGAGAGTGGGCTGGGTGTCTGGAGGCGCTCCTGCTTTGTAAGAGCTACAACTGGTGTGATGTCCGGGAATCATCTTGAGGAGGAAATCTGGGATGACAGTGAAGGGGCAGGACGGGGGCCTTACTCGCGGCCGCTGGCGGAGTAGGAGAACTGAGGGAAGTGCGGCCGCCGCTCGTTGTCCACGCAGTCCATGCCGTCCTCGTCATCTGCAGGCACAAAGCGGCCACTTAACGTCACGGTTACTGTTTGCAACGGTATCTCTGGTCTACGCGGTTCTAACAGCTAGCACAGGGAAGGTCAGCCACGGCAACAAGCTCCGAGACACTTGTGGCCATCCACAAAACACACAATAACGACACTCACTCCCCAAACGATCTCCCTCTCACACGCACGATCTATGAAGAAAGAACACCCTCACGTCGACTCCCTCGAGCTGTGAACATCTCAAGACCCAACATGCTGTGAAAAAGTACTACTGAACAAAACCAGATTTTTTAAAATAAGAAGGTGCGAACGATCTTCAGTAACCTCCAATTCCACGAAACTACGCCCGTCCACACTGCAGCAGGCAGTCAGGCCTAAGGCACCAGAAGTGTCTGTCTGGTACCAACGGCTTCAAATGCATGTATTTTTTCTTCTTGGTGCTTTAGGTGTGACTGCGAAATAAAGCTTCATAGGAGTCCTTGATTTGACATTGTTTACATCATTTACTCTCCATCTCATATCTGCCTTCGGTCACCATTCCTGGTTTCCCTAAGATGCCCCTTTAAACCAGAGTGAAGAGAGGAAGACAAAGGAAGAGGGAGAGATATCAGCATCTAACGCTAGCCCCTCTGGAAACCAGCAGCAAGCAGAGACATGAAGGCATGGAAGCAAGGCGCTTTCACTTGGGCTGCCCCCTTTCACCTTCTCTGCCTTCTTGTATTCGAAAGATCTCGAATGATCCCCCAAGCCCTTCTCCTAACTGTCCCAGTGATTAAAGTCCCGCATGGCCAGGAAGCTCTTCCTTCTATGTGGTCACACGTTCAGTCACCCTGGCCACACCATCCCCTGTGCACCTGCTCCAGGCTCTGGGTCAAGTCCAGCCGCCCTTGGGGCTCCTGTCTATGCAGGAGGTGCCCACAAAGCCTCTCCTGCTCTCCCCAAGTGCACGGGGTCAGATGCTGTCCCACAGAGGCGGCTTTCCAACACCCAACCTTCTTTTCTTCAAGCAAAATAATTCCACTTCCTCCAATACCCACAGGGAGTACAGTGCCAATTCTTTACATTTTCCAGCCTCCCCAGGAGCACCAAGAGAAAACACATAGGCCTCTGTATGGCGGGCACTGACCCTGTCACGCAGCAAGGATGACGCTCTGTGCTCCTCCATGACACACATTCCTCCGGTGAGCAAACTCACTGTGCTTCCGTTGGGTATACTATTCTGAATACAAAAGATTCTAGAAATGGGAGCAAGCGGTTAGCCAAAATTTGTGACCTCGGATGTACCAGAAAAAAAAATCACTGGATGAGGTGGCAATCAATCCATGAAGAGGATTTGGGGCTCCCTGCTCTGTGTAGACCATGGACCTCCAAGGGCTTCTGTCCTTCTACAGGGAGGCCTTTCGACTACATCAGCCTTTCTAGAGAGGACTGACTTGGGGAGATCTCTGCCTCCTTATCAAATACTGGTTAGACAGCAAGCAAACCACATGCATCGTTCAAATAAAATACCTTCCACAGTATTTCTGGCTGCAGGAAAGGCGCTGGGAATGATGGCCTATTTGTATAAAAACTAGAGAAAAGGCAGCTGCAAGCTTAGTGTTCAGATTCGGACACATGCCAATCACATGTCAAGGAAACAGCGTTCCCCACTAACAGCTTTATTTGGCTGAGTGTTTCTGCACAGTGAACGTGCAGAGAGCCCATGTGGGAGGCTGCAGGTCAGTTGAGAATTAAGAGAGTCTTCATTCTGCCACTTCAGATAAAGAAATCTCAACCTCACAGATGGGCAAACAAGAACCCCACACCTTGAGATTCTTTAAAGCCCATTACACCACTCCCTCACCGCGGATCCCTCCTGCTCAGCCACAGTGAGGGGCCAGTATCTGATCCTGCCCCAGGGACAGAGGAAGGAGAAGCCCTGGGCCCACAGGTGGGGGGCTGGGGAGAGAGGGGACAGCGGCCTGCCCGAGCCAGAGTCCATCACACCAACCATCTGTAACCCTGTTCCTGCTCTGAACGGAGCGTTGTAGAGACAGTTGCTGATGACACACCATGAACCATGCTGCAAACACGAGACACACCTGGAACAAGAAAGCAGGGCTCGACTCCCTATCCCACATCAGAATCCGTGGCCCAAGGAGCCTCACTTCCTTATAGCGTTCAACAAATGTAATTACATGGCATTAAAAGCTACTCGATCTCAAAGAAATCCTCTCTTCCTACAAGAGGAAGGCAGAGAACCATTAACGGATAGAATGCAAGACGACACATTCCAAAATCTGTTCAGTTAATTAACACCAATGAGAACAATCTGGCATGTGACCACAGCTGTTTGTCGGCAAGGAACACTTTGCCTGTCGAACTGCTGATTTGTTCTAAAAAGTAACTCCATTCTGTGTCCTAAAAGCCAGGTGGTGAGTGGGAAGGAGGCCGTCGCTAACTGAGGGTACCGCAGAGGGCTTCCATGAACAAAAGCTCCGTGCTTTAGCTGCTGCAGGGCCGCTCACCAGCAACACCCCTCAAAGCTGCAAGACGATTATGTTACATGTAATCACAGTCCAAGGTTTCACTGAATCTCCTTCGATCCACCTCTTAAGGGGATCTAGAATGTTTCCAGGGACCATCCCTTTAAAGACCCGGCCCTGTGCTCCCCAGCCCTCCCTCCAGCGGGGGCCTCGGGCCTCAGCTCAGCCTGCTGAGCGCCGTCATCTGCTCCCTCTGCCGAGGCCCCAGCAGACGCAGGATGCTGCTGCTGGACTCGGGTTTCTGGGTTCGGATGTCCGCACAGCCACACGTTCCCAGGCCTCCATGGTAGGTGGATTCTGGAACCCACATTGGAAAGGACTACAATGTGTGAGCTTCCTGCTGATCCCTGTCTCAATCTAGAAATAGACTCCTTATCCTTTCAAGACCCCAAGTCACTGGGCATGGACAGCATTCCCTGCATCTAAAATGACATAGATTCTTTCAAAAAGGGGGTTGCTGTAAGTGAGGAAACATTTTGTATTACTGATCGAGAAGCAGAGACACCAGGTTCAGATGATATTCTAGAAACCACGCTGGGTGATTTAAAACGTCTTTGAACATTTCCGTCTCATTTTATAAAGTTCTAGAAATGAAGCCACAGGGTGCCTGTTAATGACATATTCTCAGGGTGACAAGTGCCCAGTGAGTCTAGAGTTAGGGGTAAGGCAGGCAAGGTGAATCTTGAAGAGATCTGAACCTCATCAGCCAGGGTTTTTTTTTTCTTTTTCTTTTTTTAAAAGATTTAATTTATTTATTTGACAGAGACACAGCAAGAGAGGGAACACAAGCAGGGCGAGCGGGAGAGGGAGAAGCAGGCTTCCCGCTGGGGCTTTGTTTTTGTTTATGTTTCTGGGTTTTTTTAAATATTTATTTGTCAGAGAGAAAGAGAGCGCGCACAAGCAGAGGGAGCTGCAAGCAGAGGGAGAAGCAGACTCCCTGCTGAGCAGGGAGCCTGACGTGGGGCTTGATCCCAGGACCTGGGGATCACGACCCAAGCCGAAGGCAAATGCCCAACTGAATGAGCCACCCAGGCGCCCCTGGGCTTTGAAATCAAGTCCATGGTGAAGAAGGACCCTGGCCAGGGCAGCGCCTACTACAGAGCTTTAGATTTCACTGATTCACAGTCATGGACATGAGAGCTGCTCAGCTGTGTCCTTCTGGGCTCCCACTCCCCAGCTGCCTCTTTAGGTGGGTCCCTCCACCCCAGATTGGCACCCACTCTCCTCTGCAGGGTGTTTGTTGTACTGGACCCAGCCTCACGCTTCAGGTGGTGCGTCCCAGAACAAAGAACACGACAGACTTAAACAGGATCAAAGCTAGGGCTCTTCAAAGCTGTCCAACTCCAGGTGCTTTTCCCACCAGGACAGCTTCTCAGGCACCACAGGGGAATACCAGGGCTCGGGGCCACTACCCGGCCTGGCATCCCCTTTCCTGGAGGGCGAAGTGACCTGCACCTTTCCGGGGAGGGAGTGGCAGAGCCAAGCGTGACACAGTCACCCCACCAGGCTCTCCTTATCCTCCTCAGCCCTTTCTTTGAGACTCAGCCTCATGGGTCTCTCCCATCTGAAGCAAGCTCTGTGCTCACAGCTTTGAATTCGCAGACCCTGCCTATTTCTGTGACGTCCATGACCACGTATTTAGTTGTCTTATAGAGTCCACAAATGCCAAAGCTCTATTTACAAAAGAGAATGGTCTCCAAGAGGCTGAGGCTGAGACAGAGATAGGTTGGGACCTCGCCCTCTCTGTGCTCACTGTGGGTGTCATGCAGGGAGGGAGGCCGAAGCACAAAGTCCTGGGCACGGATGGCCAACAGCACCATCTGTAAAGAGCTGGGCCTCCTTCCGGCTAGGAAACGACCAGGCACTCGCCATAACGTGTTTATGCCTTCACTTCATACATATTTACTGAATGCCGACACCGGGCCAGATACCCAGCCCGGAGCTGGGGCTAGCTGTGAATAGGAAACCAAGCCCTTTTTCTCAGGGTTACTGGATTCTAGTTGGACAGGCAGTAAACAGAGAAACGAACAAATTAACCAGAAGAGTATCAGCAAGTTGCCAATGCACAGAATCAAGGGGTGGGGGATGCGGTGCCCAATGGGCTGCGCTGTTCCTTGGATTGGGAGGTGAAAGCAAACTCTCTGGGGAAGTGACATTTAAGCTGAGATCTGAGGGAGTAGGAGCTGTTGATGGAAATGTCAGGGAAAAGAGCATGGAAGGCAGAGACAACTGTTAGCACCCAAGTCCCGAGGAATGGTGAGGTATGGCATGTTCAGGTGAGACTGAACATGGGGACATGAGTGAGCCATAAAGGGTAAGGCAAACATGGGAAGGGTCACTTTCAGAGTCCTTCCAGCTGATGGCGAAAGAAAGTATTAGAACAGTAAAGAAGGGCAAAGTTGTTTACAAGTTAGTCTATGATTCTCAGGCTACAATTTTTCTTTATGTAATTTTTCCTACTCCCCAAAACTCTTCTCTCAGCTACCTGTCTTTGAAACTTCCACATGGAACTCCATATTCTTAAGCAGGATGAAATAAGTCACCGCGGAATCTGATCTTAAAAATAAATATCCAATCAAGAGAGTGGCTATTGTCTTCCATTATATTAGAATGTTATCAAGTGCCTGTCAGATGTACTTACATTTTTCAGGTGGAGTTATTGTAATAGTCTGAGCTGTGAATTCTTCATCAAAATATCTGGTATCTGTCTCAGATGTAACTTGAGGCTTAAAAGGAGGTACAAGCTGCAAGAAGAAAGAAGAAGGGTACTGTTAACAGATTTCGGTTTAGAGAAATTCATTTCTAGGATAAAATTAGAGAGCAAATAATTAATGGAACAGTGCCAGAGACCAGATCGCTGAGTCACTGTATACAGGAGATGTGGCGTTTGGCTTCCCAGTCAACAGTCTGAGCACAGAACAGGAGGTACTTGGTTGTTCCGTATAAAATTTGACAGATTATGTGAAACAGAACAAATGAGAACCAGAGAATAGGGTGGAAAGAGGATACTGAAAAGTCCTAATTTCCCCACCAATCACAAACATACACACAAACCATATGGATGCAAACCCTGGCACCAAAATGCAAGCTCTCCCCCGAGCAGCAAAAGCATGACTCGTCCCCTAGTCTCTTCCTGGCGCCTGGTTCAACAGCTTATTAGTAATACTGAACACAACTTAATGATACAGTTTTACCCCCCAGGTCACATAGTGCTGCCCCTGTCCTTGGCAAAGAACTATACCCGCTTACTTGAGATAAGCATGAACGCCTGCCCCCCGCTCCGGGACAGGGGCCTGGGGAGCCCCTGAAGTTACATGCCATTTTGTCCCTTGGTTGCATCCGATCCCCAAAAGGGACAGGGACCCAAAAGAGAGTAGAGGGACTGCTCTCGGACAGAGCTGGACGCCTCTGCCTCAGAGCTGCGGAAGGCACGGTGCGGGCCAAGTCTGGGGCTGCTGAAAGCCTCTGGGACCTCCACTGGGCAAGGACGAGCCGGAGCTGAGGTGGGACTCCTGCTCCTCAGGGCTCTGGCCTCACAGGAGAACACGGGGAGCCCCGTCCCAGAGCCTGGAGTCAAGTATCCGCTCTCATGAGTTTGCTGCACAACAGGAGATGCTGCTTTTAGGACAAAATTCCCGAGTGGACAGAAATACGGAGAAGCGGGGGACAGAAATCAGTATGTTTTATAAAAAGTTTACAGAAACCAACAGAAACACACAACTGGCTTTAGCTCAATGCATTTTCCCACTCTTGTCGCCAAATTTATGTTAAATAATAAGGCAAAAATCTTTACTCCCTAGGCAGACTATGTTTTCAAAAACCAGAGGGTGAGCAGAATGAAAAGCACCACACATCTCCGTTTATGCCACGTGTAACAGAGCATTTTTTAAAATTTTATTTATTTGACAGAGCGCGCACAAGCAGGGGGAGGGGCAGAGGCAGAGGGAGAAGCAGGCTCCCCGCGGAGCAGGGCGATCGTGCGGAAACTCGATCCCGGGACCCAGGGATCATGACCTGAGCTGAAGGCAGACGCTTCACTGCTGGAGCCAACCAGGCGCCCCACTAACAGAGCATTTTTAATCCCTTTGCCTCATCATTCTTTCTCTCTGTCCCAGGACACAGCCAATCTAAAGCCTGTTACGAGCAGGCACTTTCTGGGGGACGAACCTAGATCCGGTTCCACTTCTGACCCGCCGCGGCGTCGACAGAACAGTATGGCTCTCCCCCCACCCCCGACCTCCCCGGGGCCAAGCTCCTCAGCTGTGTGGGCCCTGCTCTGGGACGCCGCCGGGCCGTGCAAACATTCACTCCACCGCCGGAGATCTCCCCTCCTCCACTCGGACACAAGGGCCCGCTTTTCCCGGGCGCCACACTCACGCCCCCAGAACAGCAAAGCTGAGCGGACCGCACAACTTGCCGTTTTCCTCGTTGGGAACCAAGAGGTCACGGCCTCCACCTGCAGGAGACCGGAGGCTGCGGCTCTGGTTGGGGTCACGTGCTACAAATGCCCCCAAATAGTTCTTCCTCATCCTTCCAATCAAAACTTCACAAGACACGCTTTTCGGCAGAAGGGGGCTTCCGGGCATGTGGAGTAGGCTGTGCTTTCCGCGGCCCGCCCTTCCCAGCGGCTGCCTTCTGAGGCAAAAACGACAATCGACTTCACGTTCCGGGGAGAGCAGCGGTGAGAGAGCGCGGGGTCCCTTGAAACTCAACAGAAACTGGAACGATCTTAAAACAGCTTCCAAACGTGACGGGGGCTTGAGCCGGCCTCGGTTCAGAAGCCTTCTGACCTCCTCGCACCGACGGCCGCCCTCCCCGCCGCCTCCTCTCCTCACGCGGCTTCCCTGTCCTTCGCAGGCCTTTCAACAGCCCACTCAACGCCCTTACGCACGCGCGCATGCGCACAAAATGTACGTGCGTTCATCTCCTGCCGCCATTACACCTTCTCCTAACAAAACATAAGCTTGGTGATGGCGAGGACGTCTAAGGACAGTTTTATTGAGGTATGCGTGACCTACAGTTAACCGTACATGTTACGCTTTGACGGGTCTTGCCATACGTACAAAACCATGAAACCGTCACCCCAATCAAGATGTGCCGGTGTCTGTTTCCTCATGAGCCTGTTGTGAGCCGTCCTCCCCCGTGCTTTCTGCCACCATGGCCTTGTTTGTAATTTTCCGGACTTTTATGTAAATGGAACCGCATAGCATGTATCTTTTGTCTGATTTTTGGCACTTAGCACGATTATTTCGACGTCCATCCCTGTCACTTCAAGTGTCACCAGCTCCCGCCCCCCGTATGCTGGGTGACACTCCACACAGGTGTGCCCGCATCCATCGCTCCATGACCTGTCATCGGACATGGCGTTCCTTCTAGTTTGGGGCTTTTGCAAATAAAGCTGCGAGGACTCCTGGGTGTCCAAGTCTTTGTATAGAGATGAGCGTTCATTTATTTTGGACAAATACCGAAGAGTGGAATGGCTGGGTCACATGCTAGACATCAAGAAGCTGCCAGACTGTTTCCCAAGGCAGTCGCTTCATTTTATGTGATTATCCACCATGTACGAAAGGTCCAGTTGCTCCCCGTTCTTGCCAGCACTGGTTTGGTGGGTTTTTTCAACAGCAGACATTCCAGCGTGTGGTGGTGGTTCACTACGGGCTTAATTGAATTTCCCTAATGAACAATCATCTTTTTCGTGAATTTACTTCTTTGGTGAAGGGTCTGTTCAAATATTTGCACCGCCCCTTTTTGGTCAATAAGTTTCAAGAGTTCTTTACATAATCTGCATGCAGGTCTTTTAATCAGATTTGTGATTTGTAACTTTTTCCCGTTTGTGACTTTTCCTTTAATTCTCTTAACAGCGCCTTCTGAAGAACACACATTCTTAATTACGCTATCGTCTGGTTTATCAGTTTTTCTTTATGGGTCATGCACTGCCCTCATCTACTGAATCTCTGCATAACCTAACACCACAAAGGTTTTCTCCTGTGTCTTCTTCTAGAAGGCTCTACACTTAGGATCATGTTTTGAGTTAATTTTGTATATGCTGCAAATTAAAAAAAATATATGGATGTCTAATTGTTTCATCACAGTTTGTTGAACTTAACTATCTTTGCACTTCTGTTTTAAGTCACTTAACCATATTATGTGTGGGTCTAGATTTCTAGGTTCTCTGTGGGCAAATAAAAAATGTTATCTGTCCAGGGACGCCTGGGTGACTCAGTCGGTTAAGTGTCCCACTCGATTTTGGCTCAGGTCATGATCTCAGGGGTCGTGAGATTGAGCCCTGAATCGGGCTCCACACTCAGCAGGGAGTCTGCTTAAGATTCTCTCACTCTGCCTTTGCCCCTCCCCCCATGGACACATGCACTCTCTCTCAAATAAATAAATCTTAAAAAAAAAAATGTTATCTGTCTATAACAACTGTACTGATTACTGTAACTTAGCAAGTCTTGAAGTTGGGTAGTATAGGCTCTCCAACTTTGTTTTCTGTCAAAGCTGTTTTGGCTACCCTATGTCCGTCCCTTGGCATTCCATATGAATTCTATAATCAACCTAACAATTTCTACAAAATAGCCTGCTAAGCTAATCTTGATTAGGATTGTGTTGAATTTATGTATCCATTTTGAGAGAACTATCATCTTAAAAATATTGAGCCTTCTAAATCATGAACACATTAGACCTCTCCATTGCTTTAGGCTATCTTTAATTTCTCTACAGTATTTTTTAGTTTACAGTATGAACAGCTTTCACATCTTTTGTCAAAAGTATTCCTAAGCACTTCATATTTCTGTTGCTATCATAAGTGATATTCTTATTAGTCTCCATTTTGGATTGCCTGTTGCTACTGTATACATTTAGTTATTTTTGTATTGTGCAATCTTTTATATATTTACTTTGTATCAAGTAACTAATGGGTTAAACTTTCATAGCTTTTTTGTAGATTCCAGCTGATTTTCTATATAGATAATCATGTTGTCCATGAATAAGACATTTACTTCTTTCTTTCCAATCTGAATGCATTTAATTTCTTTTTCTTGCCTTACTGCACTGGCCAGAATCTCCAGTACAATGCTAACAGGGCAAACATCTTCACCTTGTAAAATCACTCAGACTTCCCCCGGTAGGATATTAGTGATAAGTTTTTCCTAGATGTCCTTTATCAGGGTGGGGAAGTTTCTCATTCATAGTTTACTGGGGAGTATTTTTGTTTGTTTGCTTTTTGTTTAAATCAGATGGACGTTGGATTTTCTTGAATGCTTTTTTTTTTTTTTTCATCCAATGAGATAACCATGTATATTTCTTTCTTAGTTATTATTAATATGGTAAATTATAATGACTTTAAAAAATTTTTTTTATTATGTTATGTTAATCACCATACATCATTAGTTTTTGATGTAGTGTTCCATGATTCATTGCGTATAATACCCAGTACTCCATGCAGAATGTGCCCTCCTTAATACGCATCACCAGGCTAACCCATCCCCCCCAGAACCCTCAGTTTGTTTTTCAGAGTCCATAGTCTCACATGGTTTGTCTCCCCCTCTGATTTCCCCCTCTTCATTCTTCCCCTCCTGCTATCTTCTTCCTTTTTTTTTTTTTTAACATATAATGTATTATTTGTTTCAGAGGTACAGGTCTGTGATTCAACAGTCTTACACAATTCACAGCCCTCACCATAGCACATACCCTCCCCAATGTCTATCACCCAGGCACCCCATCCCTCCCACCTCCCACCACTCCA